GCTATTCAAGGCTCCCAGCACAGTCTGCATGCCCCAGCAGCTGGTGGCTCTGCTTGACCAAAAGATATGAAGGACAAAAGCAGAATGCCTATGAAGTCTGTTTCTTTGCCTTGATTTGTACCAGGGGTAGGCTGGAGGGTGCCCCAGAATGAGCCAATGGCTGCAATGTCAGACACTAAGTTGGGAGTGGAAGCGAAAGGTGAGGAGACCAGAGTGGAGGAAACTAAGCCAAGTTGCCAGGTCTTGGGCAATTTCAATACCAAGGCTCTGAGCCAAGGACAGGCTACTGTGCTTGAAATAACTTCCCAAGAGAGCCTTAACTGGTCACTTCGCCCTCTCTATCCCAGCACTGACTTTTAGGTCAATGTAACTAATATTGACTAGCCCCCTATTCTATGTTAGCACCACAAAAGATACAAAGCTTTGGTCTTCCACAGAGCCGAGGCAAGCCCACAGGAAACAATGAGAGAGTTGTACAAAACGGTAATCAATCCAGTGCCAACCTGTGCAGTACAAGCCCCAAAGGCGACTGAAATTCACAGAAAGGAGAGATCAGGGTGTGCTGGCACGGGCAGTGGTAGCTTCTTGGAGCACATGAACTTGACCTCAATGAAGAAAGGAAGACAAAGTAGAACGAGGACAGCATTTCAGGTAGAAACAACAGTGTGAGCAAAAATGAAGCAGCAGCAATGAGAATGAATTGTTTCTTGGCCTGTGAAGAAACCTCTCTGTGGAGCAAAGGGCTGTTGTGGGAGAAGAACAGGAGAAGATCAGACCATAGAGGTCCTGATTTCCAAGAATACTAAATCAAGCAAATTCAACATGCAGGATCCAAGAGTCCATTATGTGGGCAATAAGAAATGATCTTGAGCTTTAAACAGGCAGTTGACAATAAAAAATTAAATTTTAGGAAGATTCATTTGGTGGTAGTGTTTAAGATGGATTAGAGGATAAAGGATTAAAAGCAAAAAAAGTGTCCCCCCAAAAACCTGAATGCTTCTTTAAGAATCTACTAAAAGTTGGACTGCAAACAAAAACACACAAACAAACAACAACAACAAAAAAAACAGCCCCTTCCCTGCCAGGCTTCACAGTCCAATGGGAAAGCCATTCATTAATCCCATAGTTACCCATTAAGGACCTATTATGTGCTAAGGATTATACTGGGCACTGGGGACACAGTGAGGAGCAAACCAAAGTCCCCACCCTCATGAAGCCTATCCTGCAATGCACGTGGAAGACAATGTAAAACCAAACCATTAAGTACATCCACATATAGTCAGGTAACCAAGTGCTATGAAGAAAAAGAAAGTACGGCACTGGGTGGAGAGTGGTGGGATGCAGTAGTCACGGAAGACTTCTCCAAATAACTGCCATGATATTTTAAGCCCAGAGAACAAATGAAATGGAGACGTCACTGCTAGAAATAAGGATATTGAGAAGAAGACTAAGCTTGTAAGAGTACAGAGAAGGGAAGGAGTCTTGTTTTAATTGTGTCAAGCTGTGATAATAGCAGGGTATCCACACAGAAATATCTAGACTCTAGAACTCTAGTCTATAAGACCAGAAGAGATAGAGGCTACACATATAAATTTCAGTGTCTTCCCTTGATATCTGAGTGATAAGAAGCTTTCTTTCTAAAACTATGAAAGTAACTAAGGGACTAAAAAAAAGTTTCAAGTGGGGTAGTCTTAAAACTACAAATAGGCCGGGAGTGGTGGCTCACGCCTGTAATCCCAGCACTTTGGGAGGCTGAGACGAGTGGATCGTGAGGTCAGGAGATCGAGACCATCCTGGCCAACACGGTGAAACCCCGTCTCTACTAAAAATACAAAAAAAAAATCAGCCAGGCGTAGTGGCGGGCGCCTGTAGTCTCAGCTACTCAGGAGGCTGAGGCAGGAGAATGGCGTGAATCCAGCAGGCGGAGCTTGCAGTGAGCCGAGATCGTGCCACTGCACTCCAGCCTGGGCTACTGAGCGAGGGTCTGTCCCAAAAAAAAAAAAAAAAAACTACAAATAGTTTTGTCATATCTCCTGTTATGACTCCCTCCCTCCAGCTGCCTGGAGTCCCAAGGGTGGACAGTGACTTTGTGTAGGTGGCAAGCAGCTGGTAACAAAATAATAATTATTATTATATTATAATTATTGTAATAATAATTATTATCGAAGCTCATTTACAACTAACCATCCAAAAGACCTCTTTCCCCTGTGTCTTCAATCTCTAAGACAGGGTGGTAGGGACAGTTCTATCCCTCCTCTGTACTTACCCTTTGAAACACATGTACCCCTTTATGACTTTACCTTCTGAAGATGGCTCTGAATGTGTCTGAGAAAGGGATTTAGAAAGCAAAATATAAAAAATTTAAACTAGCCCTTCCTACCTTCCTAGAAGTGGCAAGAGTTAAATGTTGAGATAGACTCAAGGGTAGGATGACTGTTTCAGTTCGCCTGGAAGTGTCTCAGTTTTAGCACTGAGAGTCCTGCATTTCAGAGAACCCCTCAACATTGAGCAAAGTAAGATGGTTGGTCAACCTATGGCTTGGTTTGACCATCATAGCTATAACCTGTGTCTTACCCGTGTGCATGACACAACACAGTGCTTTACTTCCTTAAAAATGACATCAGCCCCATTAAAGTACGTGTTTAGTTTCCAAGCCCTACCTAGTCACCTTCTACTCTAGGAGCCAGGTTCTCTTTTCCCACCCAGACAGATGAGCCGTGCTCAGAAATTCCTAGACATGAGTTGACACTGGATTCCTTAGCCTTCTACTCCCATCATCTCCCACTCAGCCCCAGCTACCACCTAAACTAGGAAGATCAAATCTACCAGTGACCTCCATCCACGGCACTTGCTGCCCCTCCTCTGTCCAGCTCTTGCCAATATAGCTGCTGGAACCTGGAGGTCAAAGTCAAATTATCAAAAAAGGATCTGAGCTGGTGATGTGCGCTAACACAGCAAATCACAGGAAAGGAGAACTCCAGATAAATTACAGCCTTCTGACCTAGGAAGATGTGTGGTTTGCGTCTCTGTGTTACAGAAACACAGGAAATGCTTACTGGACCAGTCAATTTCAGAGTTTTGGGTCCCAAGCTAGGCTGACTCACCTTCAGAATGGAAACCAAGTGACAGCCCTCATATCAGGGCACACATCACATGCTCTTCCAGAAGTCAATGGGTTTGGAACCCTCGCAGATATTGGGAAAGCTCACTAATCATTTCTGCCAGTTATCAGAGGTTGCTCTGAAATTATAAGGAAGATTCAAAGAAAACACCAAGACTGATATTAAACTTGGCAGGAACCCTTGTTACAGAATTTTCCTGCCTGACAAGGTTAAAAGAACAATAAGCAGGAAACACAATCCTCCAGGAATAATCAATCCTCTTTGGCCCCTGGTCACCTTGACTCAAACAGACTAAATTCTAAAATGTAGAATTTCAAATAAGCTATTTAGATAACCTTGACCATTCTCCACACACAAGCCCTTGCCTGAACTATTAATAGCCAAGGCAAAGGGTAGTTGTTATTGCTGCCTTTTTAAACTGAACCATCTGGGAAATTGCTTCAGACCCCCCAAGAAAGATTCCTGTTAACAATTCAAAAACTAAAATATTTGATCCCTGACACAGCCCTTTCCCCTGACCCGCCCTTCAGGCTCAGTCTGACTGACTGCAAAGGCTGTTGCAAGATTGCATCACTGACCTTTGCAATTTTCTGGCCAGTTTGATTTCCCCTTTTTTCCCCTGCCCCCTCCCTTTCTCTGCTTAAAGCCCGTTGGCCAATTTGCCTCTCCTTTTCCCCTACTTTGCTAATTCTGGCATATCCATAACCAAAGCCAAATTAGAATGCTCCCTTGGCCCCAGGTGATTATATCTAATCCTGATCAAAATCAATCCTACATCTTCAACGTCCAAGAGTACTCACACTATGGATTCTTACTTAAGCTGTCTACTACACACCCTTCTGCCCACAAACTGCTTCAAAGCTGAAGTTGAGCTGGAGCAGTGAAGTTGTACCCCCAAACCCAGGAGGGTGGCAGAGAATTATTGAGGAGAGTATGAAATACTTCCATTCTAGAATAGCAGACAAACTTCTACCAACAGCCCCTTCCATACTCGACCCCCCATACCCCAGCTCCCAACTCCACTCCTCAGTGAGAACAATTTGAATTTAAAGGCTCTTGCCTGATACACGGAAGTACATAAGGAAACAGCTTGCAGGCAAAGAGACTAATATCTCTCTCTCTCTCTCTCTCTCTCTCTCTCTCTCTCTCTCTCTCTCTCTCTCTCACACACACACACACACACACACACACCCCTCTGTGCATAAAAGCACCATCAATGAATAGTTTTCTATCAACTGACTCTAGCTATACATGCATACACCTCTAAATAAAACCAACCAGGCAGGAAAGAAACAATATTAGCACATATTGCTTTATCCAAGCGTGACCTGCTCTATTCTGTTACCCAGATCCCTCCCCCTTGCCTTCTCCTCTCTGATGCAATTGCCACACACGTGGGAAGATGATAACCCTTCGGAAGAAAAAGGAAAGCTTTTTTTCCTTAGGTGGAACCCCCAGATTCCCTCATTATTTATAATGTCAGGCTGTCCTGGACGAGGGAAGCTTGTACCCACTGACACCAGTAAGAAGGTGCTGTCATGTCAGAAATGTCCGCGGACACCTCCCTGGGTTCCAGGTCCTCCCCTGCGCTAGCCTAGAGTGGGACTTTCGCGTGCACACTGGCCCTTCCGCGTGCCCCGCTGCCGATGACCCCGCGCGCGTGCCGGGTCCCCTAGCTCACACAGTCGGAGCGTGCGCAGCGCGTGGCCACCTCCTGCCAGGTCCCAGCGGGGTTCCACCCCCTCCTTTCCCCCTCCTTTTCTTCCTCCCCCTCCGCGTTCCCCGGGCTCTGGCCGAGCCAGTCTGGGCCCGGGAGCCCAGGAGGCGTGTCTCGGAGAAAATATATAAACGGCCTCCGGACGCTACAGCGGTGCCAGCGGCGGAGTCTCCAACGGGAAGAGCTGCAGCTGCGGAGCGGAGGAGAACGCCGAGGCCAGTCGGACCGACGGACACGCTGACCGCCGCCAACTGCAGCTAGCGCTGCCTCCTGCTAGCGCCCTGCCACTAAGGTGGTCCCCCTTTCTATGAGCCCTCCCTAAGATAAGGTGGGTGCGGGGTGGCGGGAGGCTGCAGCCGTTCTTCGGTGGCTGAAGTCCCCTCTGCTGCTGCTCCTCCTGCAGGTCACTCCCGCCTCCCAGAGCCTAGAGCCGAGATGGAAGCGGTCCAGGAGCTGATCCCCCTGGCCAAGGAGATGATGGCCCAGAAGCGCAAGGGGAAGATGGTGAAGCTGTACGTGCTGGGCAGCGTGCTGGCCCTCTTCGGCGTGGTACTCGGCCTGATGGAGACTGTGTGCAGCCCCTTCACGGCCGCCAGCCGTCTGCGGGACCAGGAGGCAGCCGTGGCGGAGCTGCAGGCCACCCTGGAGCGACAGGCTCTCCAGAAGCAAGCCCTGCAGGAGAAAGGCAAGCAGCAGGACACCGTCCTCGGTGGCCGGGCCCTTTCCAACCGGCCGCACGCCTCGTAGGAACTGTGGGAGACCAGCGGAGTGGGAGGGAGAGGCAGCAGACAGAGACAAACAGACCGAAAGAGGGAGAGACAGAGGGGTCGCGCGCACAGGAGCCTGACTCCGCTGGGAGAGTGCAGGAGCACGTGCTGTTTTTTTATCTGGACTTAACTTCAGAGAAACCACTGACATCTAGAACTGACCTACCACGAGCATCCACCAAAAGGAGTTTGGGATTGAGTTTTGCTGCTGTGCAGCACTGCATTGTCATGACGCGTCCACTACTGTGTCAATTATCTAAATACGTCTACCATTTTGCACTAGGGAGGAAGGATAAATGCTTTTTATATTATTATTATTAATTATTACAATGACCACCATTTTGCATTTTGAAATAAAAAACTTTTTATACCATATCTCATCTAATTCCTGAGAGGTGTGGTATCCTGGGGTGGGCAGCAGGGAGGGTTAGCAGGCGTGTGACGGTGATGGGGTCTTACCTGAGCACTGCAGCGGGAGCAGCTTCCTGAAGGTCAGGCACTTGCTTCACACCTAGGAACTGTGTAATAAGCTACTACATGCAGGTAAGTCTGCTGAGGACTCGTTTTTCCTTCTTGTTAGGGGTGGGAAGAGAGAAACTTTTATAACTTCCATGAAATTTAGCATTTTAAGATGAGAAGGTAGATCAACTTCTAAGCTAGAGTGAGTGGGAGGTAACTGATTAATTCTAAGGCAGAAAAGCTCTTTGATCCTCACACCTGTGCACCAGAGCTTCCCATGGCTGATAACTTTTTCTTCCCAACTGTATTTTAGAGAGCGAGACAGAGAAAGAAGGGAAGAAAAGAAAGGAGGGAGATCTGGAGGTGAAGGACAGGAAAGAAAGGAAAAACTAGCTACCTGGCAGGAAAAGAGATAAGCTCCCAAGAACACCAAAGCAGATGATGAGTCTAGCTCTACCCAGCCTTCCTCCCCATGCACCCAGATCATAGTAAGAAACTCTGGGCTAGAAAGAGGAAAAAATAACTGGTTGTTACAGATCTGAGTCCTCCTCCTCCAGTGTAGAGCTTCATCTGTAGTAATAGCCAATTTGGTGACTCTATAGGGCTCGGCAAAAGAAATTTTATACTTTAAAGAGTTAGCCAGGAGTCCGAGGCATGGCCTTGATGCTAGTCTCCTCATATTTTTCATGTCACCAGTCCTAATCAGGACTTTACTCCTTTCATCAATAGCTATGCATTTTTGCCAAACATATCACTGGCTCACATCATTGCCTCTGCTCAGACTCTCTCCTTTATCCAGTGCCCTACACACATCTCCATTTCATTTCTGCCAACTCAATTCCTACCCAGTGTTCCTGGCCCTGATCAAAAGCCATCTCTCTCTGAAATCTATTCTTATCACTCCCAAAGGAAAAAAGCAATCAGAATGTGGTAAGATTAATCAAGAAAAAGAAATGTATTTGGAGTTTTAAAAGAAAAGAAGAATGTCGGTGGCACCATGGCTCACCCAGTTTCCAAAATGGGAAACTCAGCCCTATACCAAGGCAGAGCCTCACTTTCAATGTCCAAGAAACTTCCTAGGAACTGACTCAATTTTATCCTTCCTGCTGGTCTTCCAAAATGCCTCTTTTATTAATTACTCCTTTGTCCATTCAGCTACCACCTTGTCTGGCTCTCAACTGCTCAAACCATCCTCCTCACCCTCTAGCACCTTCGCCCTAAACTATCCGTTGTCAGACTGTCTTCCTTTAATATCTTTCATTCTGCTGCTCCTGAACTCAAAAACATCTGAGACTAAAACTCTTATGCCAGGTTTCAGTGCCTCTGTGATATGCTTCCATCTCAGCCGGCCCTCTTGCCTGATTTGTCAGGCTGCCTAGCATGAACCCCGGTCCCTTTCTGTTCCCTTCTGGTTTTCTGCACCTTTGTTTACCTTACTCTTCCAACCTGAATGTCCTCCCACCCACTACCTCCACATCTTCTGAAACCACATACCTCAAATTCTCCAAGGGAGGTATGATTTCAAATACAGGTGTTTTGCCCATTGTCAAACTACATGTAAAACTGTGTGCTCTATTTTTTTTTTTTTTTCCCCCCGAGATGGAGTCTTGCTCTATCACCAGGCTGGAGTGCAGTAGCACAATCTCGGCTCGCTGCAACCTCCACCTCCTTGGTTCAACCGATTCCACTGCCTCAGCCTCCCAAGTAGCTGGGACTATAGGTGTGCACCACCATGCCCAGCTAATTTTTTGTATTTTAGTAGAGACGGGGTTTCACCATGTTGGCCAGGATGGTCTCAATCTCCTGACCTCATGATCTGCCTTCCTCAGCCTCCCAAAGTGCTGGGATTACATGATTTTTTATTTAGAAAGTAATGCCTATGCTTTGAAAGTTTGCCTATATATTAAAAAAATAAAGTTGCCTAAATATATAAGTATGCCTATACGTTTGTGTAGAAGGAAATTCCCCATGCCTGTTTATATTCACATTACCCAACCCAATCAAATCCGAGCTATTGAAATCTCTGTTCTCACTGGTCTCCTCAATTCTCTGAGTTCTTATAGGCCATACAGCCTGAGTCTCATACTGCATCACTCAGTAATAGACTTTTTTTCTCCCAGTTGTTCTGTGGGCTTGGTCATGTCTCTTATAGTACAATCTTCTTGAAGTAAAGGATCATGTCTTCAGTGTTCACAGAAATCTTTAGGTCCTAGGCAAATAGTAGGTTCTTAATAAATACTTGATTGTTTAATTAATCATTTATGAGGCTAGAGCAGTGCTTGTAAATGAAAGGAGAAGCAATTTTGTCCCCCCAGAGAACATTTGACAGTCTTAAGATATTTCTGGTGTCTGGGTGAGGGGAGGGGGCAGTACTGCAGGCATCTAGAGGGTAGAAGTTGGGGGGGTTTAAACATCTTCTAATGCACAGGACAGCCGCCAACACAAAGAATTCTCCATTCCAAAATGTTAATGGGGTAGAAGTTGAAAAATTCTGGGTTAGAGGAAAGTAAGGAAAAAGGGTTTGCTTAATAATTTCAGAATAAAAGTTATGAGGTAGTCTCACAAGGCTATGTCTGGTTACGATCAAACATGTTCCTCCCCCAACATAGGAATAAAAATTGTCTTTTGTCCTATTCTGCTTGGTAATTTTACCAACAACCTAGGAGAGGTAACAGGAAGTATACTTATCAATTCTGTTGGTGACACAGAGCTGAGATAGCACAGTCAGAACTCAAAACAACTCAATAGGCTGGAACCATGCACCAAAGAATAACCAACTGAAACTGAATAGGGAAAAAGATACAATACAGAATTCAGGTTCAAAAACCCAACTGCATGACCACAGAATTTGAAAGACATATTCTAGCAGCAGATCATGTGAAAAAGACCTCAAGTTTTTTAAAAATTTTAATTGATACATTATAATTGTACATATTTATGAGTACAATTTGATGTTTCCACACATGAACACATTATATAATGATCGAATCAAGGTATTTAGCATAGCCATCACCTCATGCATTTATCATTTCTTTGTGATAAGAATATTCAAAAGCTTCTCTTCTAGCTATTTTGTAATATACAATACCCTACTGTTAACCATAGTCACCCTACTGTGGAAAAGAACTCCAGAACTCTTCCTATCTAATTGAAACTTTGTACTCCTTGACCAGCCTCTCCTCATCCTCCTCTCCCCCATCTCCCCCTAAGTCTCTGTTAACCACACTGATCTACTCTATACTTTTATAAGATCAGCAAACATCAGCAAATATATATATATATATTCATTCCACATTTAAGTGAGATCATGTGCTATTTACTATTTGTCTTTCTGTGTCTGGCTTATTTCACTTAACATAACATCCAGGTTCATCCATTTTGTCTCAGATGACAGTACATCATTGTTTTCCATCGCTGAATAGTATTCCATTGTATACACATACTACATGTTATTTATCCTTTCATCCACTGCTGGCACTTAGGTTGATTTCAAGTCTTGTGCTACAACAAACATGGGAGTACAGATATCTCTATATACCCACTAGTGGGAATGCTGGATCTTATGGTGGTTCTACTTTTAATCTTTTATAAACCTCCATGCTGTTTTCCATTCCATTAGGGGCTGTGCTAATTTACATTCCCACCAGCAGTGTGTAAGCATTTCCTTTTCTCTACATCCTCACCAACACGTGCTTTCTTTTGTCTTTTGGTAAGAGCTATTCTAACTATAGTGAAGTGGTATTTAACTATGGTTTTGATTTGTATTTCCCTGGTGAGCAGTGATGTTGAACATTTTTGTCATATACCTGTGGCCATTTTTATGTCTTCTTTTGAGAAATATCTATTAAGGTCTTTTGCCCATTTTAAAATTAGGTCACTTGGGTTTATTTTGCTATTAGGTTGAGTTTCTTATACATTCTGGATATTAACCCTTCATCACATATATAGTTTGCAAACATTTTCTCCCATTCTGCAAGGTTGTCTCTTCACTGCTAATTGTTTCCTTTGCTATGCACAAACTTCTCAGTTTGATGTAATCCCATTTGTCTATTTTTGCTTTGACTGCCTATGTTTTTGAGGTCTTATCTAAAACTTTGTTGCCTAGTCCCATGTCTCAAAATGTTTCCCCTATATCATCTTCTGGTAGTTTCATAGTTTTCTTATGTTTAAATCTTTAATCCATTTTGAGTTGATTTTTATAGGTATGCATGACTTCACAACGGGGATACACTGTGAGAGATGCTTTACTAGGCGATTTTGTCATTTGTGCAATCATCATGACGTCTACTTAAAACATACCTAGATAGCATAATCTACTACATAGCTAGGCTATATGGTGTAGCCTATTGCTCCTAGGCTGTAAACCTGTATGGTATATTACTGTACTGAATATTGTAGGCAATTATAACATAATGGTAAGCATCTGTAAACCTATCAACATATCTAAACATAAAAAGGTACAGTAAAAATGTTATTATAATTTTATAGGACTACCATTGTATATACAGTCCCTCATTGGCCAAAATGTTATGTGGCATATGACTTGATATGGTGAGATGTCAGGATCTAGTCTTGTTCTTCTGCAGGTGGATATCAAAGTTTCCCAGCACCCTTTATTGAAGAGACTGTCTTTTCCCCAATGTGGGCTCTTGGCAACTTTGTTGAAAATCAGCTGGCTGTAGGTGAGTGAATTTATTTCTAAGCTCTCTATTCTGTTCCATTGATCTATATATCTGCTTTTATGCCAGTATCATGCCGTTTTTGTTATTATAGCTTTGAAGTTTATTTTGAAGTCAAGAAGTATGATGCCTCTAGTTTTGTTCTTTTTGCTCATACCTAAAGATTTTCAGTGGTTACAAGTTCAATAAAAGCCAA